AAATTAAGAACAGAAAACAAAACCCAAGGAATGTATGGAGGATTAAAATCAAGGTACAGGATAATAGTAATAATCTTTCAAAAGAAAGATTTTCTAATCCTTACCTCTGAAGACTTCCAGTGTTCTAAATGTCAGAAGCAGGAATATAAAGAAGAACTTATGGAGCAATTATTCTTTTCTGAGCATGATACTGCAAAATGTGAGAACTGTACATCCTATAAGTAGAAGCAAACACTTCATTAATTTTTTTTAAATGTTGGCCTGACTGCTTTTGTGTATGTGGTTTCATTGTTTGTGGTACCGGATACACAATACAGAATCCTGGAACGGTTATTTAGAAATGAGAACATGCCAGCTAACTAAACTGAAACTTAGTCCGAAGCAGCTGCTCAGAAATACTGAAGCCTAAAAACTTCAGGAAGTCTTGCCTAGCCTCCAGTATTTCCAATCTTTGAAGACCTTCATGGCTTGGGACCATAATTTAATTTCTAATTTGGCCATCTAAAGTCACAGTTTTAATAATTTTTATTGCAGTTTCAAAATACAAAGATAAAGAACTAATACAGATGAAGAGGAATATAAAAAAGAAACAGTGAAAATTGCAGAGAGAAAAAGAAAAAAGGGGAAGAAAAAAAGGGAGGAAAAATATATAAAATGAAACCAAAGAAAAAATATAGAAATAAATTACTTTCCCTTTCATCAAGACAAGTGAAAACATTTTCAATAACTTAATACCTTCTCTTTCAACCAAAAACCTCTTTATCCCATATCTCAACTTTTATCTATTAGCAATAAAACCTTTTATTCAGCAAAAGTCTATTAGAAGCTACCAGAAAGAACACATCAGAATTTTTAATATTTAATCCCTTCAAATGATGTCCTGCAAATTAATTTATCAACTTCTCTTCATTTCCTTTCAATTTCACTTTATCACTTTCTCTAAAAATGCAGTAGAAATTCTCTTCTTTCCATACATTATCTATAAACAATTCTGTAAGGTCTTATATTCAGACTTAATCCAGAAAAAAACATTAAAAGCTGCTTAAAAAAAAGAATCATATATATTTTAACTTTGCTTGAGTAAGACAACTCTGTAAACCTTCATTTTACTTTCAAAGGTCTTGATGTTTATTCTTTTTAATTGATGTCCCAAACACTGATTTATCTCAGGGATTCCTTCATAAATATAGCACATCTCTTTTATAAATCCAAATTGTTAAAGTCACTTTTCTGAGTTAGAATCTACATATCCAGGTCATTCTTGTGGTGCCCCTTTATTTGTGTGTCCTTTTTAACTATTAAACCTCAGCCGGTTTAACTTGTAAGTTCTTTATAAAGTCTTTGTCTGTACTTTAATTCTTGTATCCTGTCAATTTTAAATCAATATCCAAAGCATCCAACAATTAATGTTTAGTTCTTTCTGATTGCTTCTAGTAACCAGCCCTCAAGGTCTCCTCTTACCATGTTTTTCTCTCATTATATACCAGTAAGAGGTTTCTTACACTTAAAACTCAAAATCTTCAAATATTTTTAGCAAGATTTTAAACAAACTACAGGAAGTAGTTTTATATGTATTTCAAAATCTAATTTTGAGTCAATCTGGCTCCTTAGTCCATTTTAAAGTTTTCTCAAATTTTCTAACCACTCCTTTGCCGCTTATCTCCAAATAAAAAGTTTCAAACTTAAATTAAGCTTCTTTTGTCGACGGTTGATGGAAAATCACTCAGTGTAATATAACTTGTCTTTCTGAAGGTTCTTAATATCCAAAAAGCAATTTACAAGCCATTTCCAATAAAGGTTATGATAGAGGGCAAGTTGCAAACCTAGTGTCCTGTTGAAGGCTCTGAACCACTGCCTGACAAAGCTGATTCTAATAAAGGAGAAGCTGGTTCTCCTGGCACCCGAAGCATTTTAACCTGGCAGAGACCGCTGTTCTATGATCTCATCACAGGGAGTTGTAAAGAGCACTCTGGGCGATCCTAAGTTCTCTCCTTAATCTGGAGAGCAGTTCCAGAAGTTGATTCAATCACTGGCTCCACTTTTCACCGTGGTTGCTTACTCCACTAAAAGTGAAATCATCTTCAGTTGTCTTTGTTCCCCAGAAAAATAGAGTCGTATATGTGAGATGGAAATATTTTTTATAGAAAATATTACATTAGAACTTCTTCAGAGTGAACTCTGCCACCCTGAGTAATTTGATTCCATAGCTTTCACATGTTAGCAAACCATCGTTATCACAAAATGATAAACCTAACAAGCCCACTCAATTAGATGCAGAGATATTGCCAGATATGAGTACACTAGGTAGATAAAAGGGTTGATTCTTCTACTCAGTTCTTCTTTAAGTGGATACCTTTTGTTTTCTAGTGGCAAAGAAGATAAATAACTGAGTAACTGAGACCTTAACAGACTTGCATGAGTAGCATAAAAGATATGTATGGTTTGTTGGGTTTTAGTGCATTGTATGAACGCAGGTAATTGTCCTTGCAACAAACAGCTCAGCATGGAGAATGATGTGTAAATACTCTTGCTCCTTCACCCAAACATCAAGTTTCCATATCTACATGAATATATGAGTAGCATCTAAATATATATGGTTCTCTAGTTTCAGAATGATAGCTAGAAGAGAATCAAGACAAATGAATGTGTGTCTACTTCAGTGTAAATACCATTGGGACTTATGGTACTCCCACATAAGTGTGATCAGATTGCCAATTAAACCAGCTTGGATTCTCTCTAGATTTTTTTTTTTGCTAAAATCAGAATAAAATAGAAGTGTGCCAAGTTACACAGATAATATTTTAATGGTCAGCAGAGAATTGCTACATGTTCTAATTAATATTACTTTTATTTAGTGTATTTGACTTGCTAGTTTTTTGAACTTCACTCTGTAGTGGTCAGTGCCAGGTTTGTCTGATGGGAAAAACAAACCCAGGCTTTCACATGTATTCAATATGTCCATCTCTTTTAGAATGGCAAGGGAACATTGTGTTACTTTCAGCAATTCCCTAAGGCAGGAGACTATTCCAGCCCCTACCCCCCAGGTGGATGTTCATTTAATCATTTTCACTGGGGGAAAAAAATATTGTCCAATATAATGTTGAACTATATGGTAATGAACTGGAAATGCAGTAAAATCTAGGATACTGCATAAATACAAATACAAATGTTCAATTTTGATTGTTTGATAGGCAAACAATTTATAGATACAGTAGTACCTTTGGTAAAATTGTATTAAGTAATAAAACAAATCCAATCAACCAGAACAGAGCTGAAAGGGATATCTTCTATTCCAAATCCCCCTGCTCAAGCAGGAGACCCTATACCATTTCAGACAGATGGCTATCCAATCTTGTCTTAAAAACCTCCATTGACGAAACACCTACAACTTCAGGATTAGAGCTATGCTATTAATTTAGTAGGGATATGTTAACCTGATACGTTACATATTTTGAAACATTCAGAAGTTCACTAACATGTCAGGGGTTCACACCTTGCACTGTTACAATTAGAGTTAAACATGATTTATTGAATAATAAGCTGTAATTGAGTTAAAATATACAAACCATGGTTTACAAATTATAACTATAATGCTTAACATAATTAATAATAGTATATAATGTTTCTGGACTAATGGCCATACTTGACCTTTAAATGGTATGTTGAGGGCTCACTTCAGAAAAGTCATGAACAGGACTAGAAGCAAAACTAAATTTGTTTTTATTTAAGTTAAAGTTAACATTATTAACGATTCCTACTAAAACCAAGAAGACTATTATTCCAGTCAAACTACTGCAAATATAGGGGCACCTGAATGAACAACTAGCATCAAACCATTTTGTGAGTTTCAGTTTCTAGTATTAATCCAGTCAATGGAATTTATAAATCATCTTTTAAGGATTAGTTTAATCTACAGGCCATTATGCCTTCAAAAACCATAATTAAAAGAAATTGTGCTTGGCACAATATATAAATCTCTATTTTATATAAAAGAAATGTATATTTTTCTATTTGTGTGTGTGAATGTATACATGTAAAGTGCTGGTGGGTAGGAACATATGCCAACCTATCTGGGTCTGGAAGCCAAAAAGGGTCAGACCTCGTTAGTTTATGGATGGGAGACCACCAGAACACACACACACCTGCCTGGGCTAAATTGTGAAGTGGAAAAAGCAACTCTAGATAAAGGAAAACACTTCCACGTTGCTCCCATTACAATAATCTCCTGTAGAAGTGTCCGCAAAGGAACCATCAATTGAGATTATTTGAACAAATTCTTCTTTTATTAACAACACGAATTGTGTAATCCTGTTGTAAAGCAAGACCTTGTCATCATAAATTAGTCCTCACAAAAAATTCGGTCCTCCACATTCAGCGGGATGATGCCCCATGACCAGATGCTGCGGAGAAAGATGTATAGTCCAGGGGTAGGCAACCTCGGCTCTTTTATGACTCGTGGACTTCAACTCCCAGAATTCCTGAGCCAGCCAAGCTGGCTCAGGAATTCTGGGAGTTGAAGTCCACGAGTCATAAAAGAGCCGAGATTGCCTACCCCTGATGTATACGGATGACTTGACCCTCGGGATAAAGGAATCCTCTTTAGATTACAGCCCTTTGCTAGTAGAGAAGCAGAGAAGGATGCGGATGTCATCCGCCGAAGACAAATTTCGATAAGAGAGCCGGGTGGTACAGAGTTTGGCTTCCTTCGACCTCTGGACGGAAGGCGGTTGCGTGGATCGATGCGGCCGGTGATAGGGGGAGGGTCAAGACGAAGGGCGGAACTGCGTCATCTCAAGGTCGCCAGGGTCAAGGAGGCGGTTCCTCGGCAGCCCAAACCCACAACAACAATAACAACAACAACGACGGCGGCGATTTCTCGGAGCCGCGTCTTCGCTGCGGCCTCCCGTGCCGCCATCTTCGCGAAGGGACCTCTGCGGCGCGGCGCGGAGGGGGGCGGGGGGCAGGGGAGGTAGGCGGGGCAACCGCCGTTCGCCGCCGCCATGAAGCTCCGCGTACGGCTGCAGAGGCAGACGGCTTCGTTGGAGTTGCCGGAGGCGGAGCCGCAGCTGGGGGATTTGCGTGCGCGCCTCGGCCAAACCCTCTTGCCCGCTTGGGGTTACAGGTATCCGAGCGGAGCTGTCACGCACGGCGTTGAGTGTGCGGGCAAATCGACGAGAGTCGATAGGAAGCGGGCCCCTGGCTTTCCGTTTTCTAGGAAATGGAAACGTTTTTTCCACGTCTAGGAGAGCCAGAGGGATTGCCCAGAGTCGGAGGAGACTCGTGGGAGACAATTCAAAACCATCTGTTTTATGATTTTATGGGAAGAAAACTTTCGAAGCCATCAAAAGGCCTCCATTCGGTAGTGACAGTGGATGGAGGCCATTGATGAATAAAATATTTTAAAATATTTTAATTAATATAGGCCAATATTAATATCTTCTTTTAATTATGTTTTTAACTATAGTTACTTTGGTATTTTTGTATCTGTTTTATCAGGCTGTTAGCCGCCCTGAGTCCGCAAGGAGAAGGGCGGGATATAAATACAATAAAACTCAAACTCAAACTCAAATAATTAGGGGAATCCAAAGGATAAATGTCCTATTTTTGGTCTGGCACAAAAAAATAGGAATGGGGGAAATATTAAGAGGAGGATTTCTTTGCCCTTCTTTTCCCTCTTGACTAAAACTATGTGTTTACTGTGTGCCTTAACAAGATTGGTTCCCAAGATAGATTGCTTTAAGTCAGTGTTTCTCAACCTTGACAATTTTAAGGCATGTGGACTTCAACTCCCAGAATTCCACAGCCAGCATTGCTGGCTGTGGAATTCTGGGAGTTGAAGTCCACATGCCTTAAAATTGTCAAGGTTGAGAAACACTGCTTTAAGTTAAAACATAACTGTCGGATTGGCTTACCGGGATGGGAACTTTCTGCTGAATACTTGAGGCCCTAAACTAGATTGGGAATTAGGGAAGAAAAAGGAGGAACGGGATGGCTTTAGGGTTTTTGGCTTAAGGATGGCGCTTGTAGCATTGTTGACATTTATAGGATTATAAATTATGTGGAATGTATGTGGAGTCAGTCCCATTCTTCACACACAATTTCTGTGCAGAGGAAAACGTACTGTATGACTTGAGTTTTCTAAAAAAGCTTATGCATTTCAGGCTAGAAATGGTTAGGTCAATGCATTGAAGCATTGACCAAAGCAAAACAAAACACTTCACTGATTATATTTCCCAATCTTTTAGGCATTTCTTGATGTTGAAGTCTTTTGAGTTTTTGGTAAACAGTTTTACAGGACATATTGTCTAAGCAATGTATTGTAGCCAGTTAGACTAGAACTGATTCATTTTCTCCCTCCCTCTACCTAATGCCAAGTCATTATCTTTCAGGTTGGCTAATTTTCAAAATTATAAATCTAAAGTACATAGTTTATTGGAAAGAAAAATTTTTTTGGCAAATACTCTGTATTCCTTTATGTAGGGCAAATTTAATTTCAAATCTTACATAGTTCTCTAGCAAACCACTTAATTCATGTGGTTTGATGGATATTTTGGAAGTATTTCCATTGAATGGTGGATTCCCGGATTCCTAACCTTTCAAATGAGCTAATGTATAGAGTAATTGGAGAATTAAGTAACTGGGTCAAGTACTAAGAAATGAACCCTATTTTCCCAAGTGAACTGTACATGAGATTGTATTTTTAGTGAGCTAGTTGATCTATAATCTTGAATCCAGTCTTGCTAGTCATAGGTATATTCATGAAGATATTGAGATTATGTTTTCTGTCTTGTTGATAAGGGATATACTGTAGGTGAAGGCTGATAGTATGTTCCTTGTGAAACTGAAAATCAAATGTAAGATTACATGTTCAGTTTCATTTATGGGCTACATTTACAAATACAAACTGATACAGTTATCACGGAAATTATGCGATTTATTAAAGTATTAGTAGTACCCACCCCTCTAACTACCTGTCACAGTGGCTTCTTCTATTCAGTGCAATATGGATGCCCTCTCTAGAAGACAATGGGTGGCTTAAAAATACACACACATATACACATGCAACAAAAACACATAGCTTTAATCATAAATCAAAAGCAATACAACGGGTTTTGCCAATAAATCACACCTATATTAATCCCAGGCCTGGGAATAGAGTCTTAAGGTTTTTCTGGAATCACAGGAGAATGGATGCTGTGTTTTCATAGTTGAAACTTGTAGTGGTAGGGTTTGGTATGCTAGAGATTTGGGATTGATTTGCCTTGAGTTTACAATGAAAAAAAAGTATCAACTGTGATTATTTTAAAAATTAAATATTGCTGTTTTCTTCAGAGATGCCCTGTAAATTAATAGTAACTGGAAATAAAACTGATTTTGTGATTGTTGAATTCAAAAATATCTCTTATGTTCAAATGTTGTAAGGTGAAATGCACCATTTATGTTTTGTGAGGATGAACATTGTAAAGTGATTGTCAAAGATTTCCCTTGGTTCCTGTTCATTTTCTTTATTAAAAATGACATGCAAAACGAAATATTTTTGAAAGGCAAATAATAAGCTAGATACTACTGTATTTAGCTACTACAACGCAGTCAGATTCAAGAGCCTTGATAATATTTTTTTTATTTAGTAAGACTGAAAGCATTCTTTTAAAAATATGGTCTTAGCATTCTGCTGCTAATAATTTAAATGCTAATACAACAAATACTACTTTTAAATATGTATTTGACTTACATTTCTAAAAAAAGTCTATTCCTGGCATGTAAACATTTATGGTAGGCTAATGTGCTTAATAAATGCAGGTGAAAATGGATCAGTTTGAGACTTATCTTGGTTTTAATGGCTATACGTATTGATTGTATTATAGTAAATCATGGAATTAGGTAATTAAGGACATCATATTATAGTAAATCATGGAATTAGGTAATTAAGGACAATGATCTCTGGAGGGCCCGGGACAGGGGTTATTCCTCTGTCCTTGTTCTTTTGGACCTCTCGGCGGCTTTTGATACCGTAGACCACGGCATCATGCTGCGACGGTTGAGTGGGTTGGGAGTGGGAGGCACTGTTATGCAGTGGTTCTCCTCCTTCCTCACCGACCGTACGCAGTCTGTATTGGCAGGGGGACAGAGGTCGACCCCAAGGCCCCTCACTTGCGGGGTCCCACAAGGGTCGGTCCTCTCTCCCCTTTTGTTCAATATTTATGT